TAGTAGAACTAATTGCTTTTGTACTTTCTAAACCTATAATAGATACATAGTTCTTCACAACTTAATTATGTGTTTAGTCTGTCACGTGCTCAAACAGCCTTCTCCACAGTAAATTAGCGGTATATAGAAAATCCGTAAATGAAACCTAATATGTTTTGCTTGTGAAAATTAAATACTGTTAAAATTAATGAACCTTTACGCCTGCTAACTGCTTTCTCCTATTGGCGTAGAAGGCCTCATATGATTTTTGTCACAACAGTAGAAACAAAATAATGTATCTGCCTTTGGTCTACTGCTAAAGACATACAATGGAAGATTGCTACTCCTATAATTGGTGCTGGAAATGTATGTACTTGTTGGCTTTCAGTTTAGTCCAATTTTATTTTCTGTTGAATGCTCGCGATTCTAATCGCTTTACAGATTCTAATATTTTGAGTGTATAAAGTCTGATTTAAATTATTAAATGAATTTTCCATTCACCATATGGACTTTGTGTAGGTCTTGTCTGTAAGCCTCTGCACCCTCTGGCGGGCTCTTTCATAGCGTTCTACAAGAAAGCTGCAGAATTGTCTAGAGCTTTCTATTAATAAAAACACATGAATGAATTCCCCTGGGCAGTTGTTCCATATTATGATGGATTGTAAGGGGATTTGTCCTTTACCAGTGTCCATCCCATTTCTGTTCCCAGGCCAAGTTGTCCTCTATTTAGGTCTTTATAGGCACTTTTATTTGAGTTTGTTAGCTTATTATAGTTTTGTACTGTACTGATCTATTAACATCTTTTAAATCCTGTTCTTACTAGACTTTTTGCAAGTGAGAGCTCCAAGCCTCCAATATACACCACTAGTCATTAATATGTGACCTGCACTTTATATACTTAAATGAGTTATTAAAACTATAACTATTTTAAAATGAACTTTATTAATTTGGGATCTGCGAGAAATTCTCCTGTTTATAAGTGACTTTCTTTCTTCATCCATTTTATTCTCTGAATTCCCAAGCTGTTACCAGCAGATGGGAGTTAGGAGGTAAGTGCAATCTCAGCTTTTAGTCTGTCGGTTGTTTCCAACATTGCGTTGTGATACAAAGTGATACTCGCTAAATGGAAGAGTTATTGTAGCTGTTACGCATTAAAAAAATACTAGTGCTGCAGAACTTAGATCTAATTTGAAGTACATTTTGGGACAACAGGAAAGCTATTTGTATTTACGTAGATATTGTATTGTGTATTATGGGGAATTTTATTTTTTAATATTCACACCAGGCAGGCATGCTCCATTAGTGAATTGCTGGACAGGGCCGTTGTTTTTCTTCATTTTGACTTCTTATCCCTTTGTATCGGAAGGTATGTACTCACCTATAAAGTCACTTTTACTCCAACGGCTCCTTTCTTAGTACAGCACAAGGTGATTTACGTTCCATGTTGCCAGAGATTGATGGGAGTCACATTCATTGATATGAGCCATTTATGGCACCTGCCATTATTTATTGTGTCCCTCTTCCCTTACAGATATGCCCAGTTAGGTGCTGGGGAGAGAGACAATGCCCACGATTCCCAGTGCTGCATTGCTGATGGACCCTGCAATTCAGTATCACATCACGTTGTACAATCCAGGATTTATTATGTAGACTGATTGCACACTGCTTAAAGGAACTATAACAACTTCAGTGATATAAGGGTGTCATGGTGCCTGGAGAGCCTTTTCTTACTTCTAGGGGTTAAACGGTTCTCAAATTGAGTTTTAGGACGCGCAGAATACCGCCGTAAGGGGCACCACTGATTGGCTTAGAGTGTATGTCTATTAGCATTCTTTGAAGTTAATTTACTTTACTTTTTACTACCCACAACCCAACCCACTGATATTGTTTGGGCAGCACAGTCCAAGAGGCTGAATTGTGTGATGTGACCAGACAGAAGCAGTGTTTAGGCTAGTGATATCAGAGAGTAAGGAATACATTTGGAAATTGGGGATTTAGCAGAAGATAAAGAAAACTGTATTTACAGATAATTTTGCACCGACAGCTTCTTGGACCACTGCACAAAGCCACAATAGTACAATAAGCAGTAATGATACTATACGCTAAATCTGCCCCATCTCCATTCACTGTGTTCCTGATCCCAAATGCTGTATTCACTAACCAAGGTCATTTCTGCATCTTATTCTCATCACATCTCCCCAAAACCATATTCACCATCCCGTTTCTCATTTCCCCTATAGTAACGCCCGCTCCTATAGCCATACTCCCAATTTCCTACATATTGCCATACCTTCTCTGCATTTTCTTTATCTTGTTGGCCTCTATATCGGCATTGTCCAGCCCAGCTGAAGAGCTAACTTCTTTCCTTCCCATATTCACAGCCCCATCTTCCTTACAGCCCCTTACTCCAACTCACAGAAATGGCCAGCGCCATGATCCTCTCATTATCCCTTATCTAAAGCCCTGTCATCGTTAATCCTCCTCTCCCACAATCACAGATTTCCAATTATGGCTTTCATTTAATATTGCTGGATACATTTTTCAAATAATTTAATATTTTGATGTATACACTGAGATATTTATTTTATATGTGACATATATTTTTGATATTTTAATATTTTTAAATCTTCATTTTAAAAGTTTATCCAAACTATGAAATCATTTGGAAATATTAAATCAAGGCCTTTGTTGGCCTAGAATGGTAAGCCCTTCCCCTCCTCCCCCAAATCCACCACCTTATGATATTTTCATTATGTTCTGTGCCAATATTACTATCAGCTGCTATATTCACACTCACAGACAATCGCACACTGCTCCTTTACTCATATATATGTCCAGTATGCTTCCGATTTGGCTATTCTGGCCTTAAATTTGTAATTTATTTAGAATTCTCACTTCAGTAGATAGCAGTTTATTTCTTGACTTTCTACACAGTCAGTTGTTAGAGTCTGATCGGGGGTGACAACCATGACGGTTGTCACGGGCCCAGCGGCCCTGGGGGGCCCGGCCGCCCAGGCCCCACGTGCAGTTGCACCGGGGCCAGCACGCTGATGGGGCCTATCGGGTGGCCCATGCACTTATGGCCTCCCGATGGTCCCTATATCTTCAGGGGCCCGGTCAGCGTGTGGCCGCGAAATAGCGCGACCGGGCCCCTCTAAAAAACAAAACAAAAATAAAAACGCTCACTCCGTGTGGGAGGAGCACGCACCAGTGAAGAGGGAGCAGCGCCAACTCCTATCAGCCCCTGCCACCCTCCTGCAAAGAAAAGGTAAGAGACAGGAGGGTGGCTGAAAAATGAGCTGTGTATGTCTGTATGTATGTCATGTTTGTATGTCATTATGTCTGTATGTGTGTATAGATACCAGAAAGTTGGAGTGTGCTAGCAACTGCACTGGAGTCAGGATCTTCTCTGAGTACTCTGAAAAAATATACAGTATATAGTGCAGACTATCTGTATATACAGGGTATGCAAAATTAAAAGTATATCTGGGGATCAACTCACATGGACCAGATCCCTATCAGAGCCAGAGCCCTTTGAATTGCTCCAATGGAGAGGGATAAACCCACAGTATAGCAAAACAGGATACTCTTCTGAATCAGATGTAATATCTAGGTAGTATAAACAAATAGAGAGGCAGGGGCCCAAATTGAATAGTATCAAACACAGTATTTATTTAAACAAAAGGTTAAAAAACTCTTACTTGAAGTAGTGGGTTTGCCAGCAATAAACCCACAACTAGATAAGCAGGAATTGTGGGTTTACTGTGGGTTTATCCCTCTCCATTGGAGCAATTCAAACCCAGAGCCAGGGGTGATAGGGCTCTGGTCCATGTGAGTTGATCCCCAGATATACTTTTAATCTTGCATACCCTGTATATACAGATAGTCTGCACTATATACTGTATATTTTTTCAGAGTACTCAGAGAAGATCCTGACTCCAGTGCAGTTGCTAGCGCACTCCAACTTTCTGGTATCTATTGCTAATTTGTGTCACTGTGTGTCACTTGGGGGTAGTGCAGCAGCACTGCAGATATTCTTAAGCGCTTTGACTCCATCTGGTTTTTCACTCTATGTGTGTATGTCTGTATGTATGCCAGTATCAATGTCTGTCTGTCTGTATGTATGTATGTATGTATGCCAGTATCTATGTATGTATGTATGCATGCCAGTATCAATGTGTGTCTGTATGTCATTATGTCTGTATGCATGTATGCATGTCTGTATATATGTCTGTATGTATGCCTATATGTATGTATGCAATATATGTCTGTATGTCATTATGAACGTATGTATGTATGGATGTCAGTATGCATGCATGTATGTATGTATGTCTGTCAATATGTCTGTATGTCATTATGAATGCATGCATGTATGTCTATATGTATGTATGCCAGTATCAATGTCTGGATGTCAGTATGAATGTATGAAACACACAAAGAAAACAAAAACTATCCCTTACTGAGATAGTGAGTGATATACTAAAGTGCCTGAATAAAAGCAGCTCAACACAAAAAGTGGAATACCTTAATCCACAATAAAGTGCAAAATACAAGAAAATGCAAAATACAAGAAAAAAAAAGGTATAAACAATATACCAGCAAGTGGAGCGCTATATTGAATATATATATAAATAATGAGGGGGTATACTCACCCCTCCAACATAGTGATACAATGTGTCCAAATGTACATACAAAGTAAAACAACAAAGAGAGAGAATATAGTGCAGATGGTTTACAAAAATAAAATAAAAAATAAAAAATAAAAAATAAAAAATGAATAATGGTAGCAATTGGTTGAAACCACTCACGTGGGTTGGAGCCTATAAGCTATTGGCTCCGTAAGTGACTCCTTCTTGCTCTTGAGGCAGCAACACACCCCTTTATCCCAAACGATATTCTCCCGAAGATATGGAACAAACAGAGAGAGAGAGCCTCATAGGTGGTATTGTACAGATGGTGTATACAATATAGTGAGATAGTAATAGATATGCTCACCTTAGACAGAGCCTTGAATTCCTGGCTCTGAGGTTTGTTGGCAATGTGCTAATTTATTGCACCCAATAAATTAGCACATTGCCAACAAACCTCAGAGCCAGGAATTCAAGGCTCTGTCTAAGGTGAGCATATCTATTACTATCTCACTATATTGTATACACCATCTGTACAATACCACCTATGAGGCTCTCTCTCTCTGTTTGTTCCATATCTTCGGGAGAATATCGTTTGGGATAAAGGGGTGTGTTGCTGCCTCAAGAGCAAGAAGGAGTCACTTACGGAGCCAATAGCTTATAGGCTCCAACCCACGTGAGTGGTTTCAACCAATTGCTACCATTATTCATTTTTTATTTTTTATTTTATTTTTTGTAAACCATCTGCACTATATTCTCTCTCTTTGTTGTTTTACTTTGTATGTACATTTGGACACATTGTATCACTATGTTGGAGGGGTGAGTATACCCCCTCATTATTTATATATATATTCAATATAGCGCTCCACTTGCTGGTATATTGTTTATACCTTTTTTTCTTGTTTTTCAGTATGAATGTATGTCTGCATGTCATTATGAACGTATGTCTGTGTGTATGTGTGTATGGATGTCAGTATGTATGAATGTATGTATGTCTGTCTGTCAGTATGTCTGTATGTCATGAATGTATGCATGTATGCCAGTATCAATGTATGTCTGTATGTCATTATATATGTCTGTATGTCCGTATGAATGTATGTCTGCATGTCAATATGAATGTATGTCTATGTGTATGTGTGAATGGATGTCAGTATGTCTGTATATATGCATGGATGTCAGTATGAATGTATGTTTGTATGCCATTATGAATGTATGTCTGTGTATGGATGTCAGTGTATGAATGTATGTATGTCTGTATGTCATTATGAATGTATGTCAGTGTGTATGTATGTATGTGTCTGTATGTCCTCATGCATGTGTGTCTGTATGTATGTTAGTATGTGTCTATCACTATGTATGCCTGTGTCTGTATATGTGTGTATGTGTGTCAGTATGTATGCCTATATGTATGTATGTCTGTTTCAGTATGTGTTTGTCTGTATATCTGTGTCCTTTTGTATCAGTATGTGTGTCTGTGTGTGTATTCCTGTGGCCGGGATTTGGAGGTGGACCCTGTGGGCGGGATTGGAGGTGTGCCCCAGACCCTGAGCTGAGTTAGGGGCCCCAAAATTTCTGGTGGCGGCCCTGTCTGTGATTGTAACGCACAGATAAAGAGCTCCTGTCCTGATACCTCCTGCAGCAGTAGATCTATGTGAGCTGTATACATGAATGCAGGGGTATGGATATGTAGAAGTTATTGTTTGTGTGTGTATATAAATGAATGCAGAGGTATGTTTGTGTAGAGTTTGATTGTGTGTGTATATATATGAATGCAGGGGTATGTTTGTGTAGAGTGTGCTTGTGTGTGTATACATGAATGCAGGGGTATGTTTGTGTAGAGTATGCTTGTGTGTGTATATATATGAATGCAGGGGTATGTTTGTGTAGAGTATGCTTGTGTGTGTATATATATGAATGCAGGGGTATGTTTGTGTAGAGTGTGCTTGTGTGTGTATACATGAATGCAGGGGTATGTTTGTGTAGAGTTTGATTGTGTGTATATACATAAATACAGGGGTATGTTTGTGTAAAGTGTGACTGTGTGTACATATATGAATGCAGGGGTATGTTTGTGTAGAGTGTGCTTGTGTGTGTGTGTATACATGAATGCAGGGGTATGTTTGTGTAGAGTGTGATTGTGTGTGTGTGTGTATACATGAATGCAGGCGTATGTTTGTGTAGAGTGTGATTGTGTGTGTATACATGAATGCAGGGGTATGTTTGTGTAGAGTGTGCTTGTGTGTGTGTGTATACATGAATGCAGGGGTATGTTTGTGTAGAGTGTGATTGTGTGTGTGTGTGTATACATGAATGCAGGCGTATGTTTGTGTAGAGTGTGATTGTGTGTGTGTGTATACATGAATGCAGGGGTATGTTTGTGTAGAGTGTGATTGTGTGTGTGTGTATGTATACATGAATGCAGGGGTATGTTTGTGTAGAGTTTGATTGTGTGTGTATACATGATTGCAGGGGTATGTTTGTGTAGAGTGTGACTGTGTGTACATATATGAATGCAGGAGTATGTTTGTGCAGAGTGTGATTGTGTGTGTATACATAAATACAGGAGTATGTTTGTGTAGAGTTTGATTGTGTGTGTATACATGAATGCAGGATTATGTTTGTGTAGTGTGATTGTGTGTGTGTATACATAATTGGTAATTTTGCTTGCCATCGTTGGGCGCCTGTCTGCTATAGCGATAATTGTACATCTTTCCATTATGTGACTTTCTAAGTCTAAATTAATCTTCTTCTATTTGGGCCAGAATTCTATCAGTGCCTTGGTGTGAAGCCTGGAAGTTCAATGACATTTATTGTTTTAGATAAGCTAATGTTTGGGAAGAACTTCATCATGTCCTCCATATCAGTAATAGACATTGGCATAAAAGCTATTTTAATGTCTGTGTCATCTGCCGCATTCTTATATTTTCTGCTGTTAGAAATTCTTTACAGTTATTTTTTTTTTTTTGGGTTCTGTTGTTAAGTTCGTAATATGGTGTGCATACCTCTACACTGTATACGGCAACCCCTACTGAACCCTGCTCTCTTCCTTACTATGACATGATATCACAGTTGTTTAACCCCTTAAGGACACATGACATGTGTGACATGTCATGATTCCCTTTTATTCCAGAATTCTGGTCCTTAAGGGGCTAAAAGCCAATCAGAATTGCACTTAAGATACAATTGTTGTCCTGTATTCTCGGTAACTGTACCATAGAGAAGAGAAGTGCTCTGTTACCGTACCATAGAGAACATAGAGAAGTGCTCTGTTGCCATACCATAGAGAAGTGCTCTGTTGCCGTACCATAGAGAAGTGCTCTGTTGCCGTACCATAGAGAAGTGCTCTGTTGCCGGACCATAGAGAAGTGCTCTGTTGCCGGACCATAGAGAAGTGCTCTGTTGCCGGACCATAGAGAAGTGCTCTGTTGCCGGACCATAGAGAAGTGCTCTGTTGCCGGACCATAGAGAAGTGCTCTGTTGCCGTAGCATAGAGAAGTGCTCTGTTGCCGTAGCATAGAGAACATAGAGAAGTGCTCTGTTAGACCATTTAGAAGTGCTCTGTTACTGTACCATAGAGAAGTGCTCTGTTACCATACCATAGAGAAGTATTATGTTACGTACCATAGAGAAGTGCTTTGTTACTGTACCATAGAGAAGTGCTTTGTTACTGTACCATAGAGGATTGCTTTCATACGGATTTTTTTTATTAAATATAATGAATACTTTGTACTCCTGATTTCGTATTTGCTGGGCTCTGTATTAACTTTGGTATTTTGGAGGGCCTTTAGTTAAATTGAATGTGCAGGTCATTCAGCAATTCTTCTTAAAAACAAAAAAAATATTTCACCTAGAGCCTTAATGTGTTTGGTTTCTTTTGCATAGTTTAATTCTCCAGCCAGTTGACCTCTTTCAGTTTGTGGATCATATAAAAACATAATTATTCTGTGCTGCAATTTGTATTGTAGTCGGTTTATACCCTTTTCTATTTTCTATTTTTGTTTTTCCATCTACTAATCAAAAGCCTGTATTGCGCTCGTCAGTCACTCCGAATTCCTTCTGCCTGTTTTATCATTTTACCATTATTTTTATTACGTTAGACCACTTAAATGTGTTTTAAATGATGCTCAGCTGCTAGTTTACATGTCAGGGATACCACTTTATATGATACTGAAATCAGATGCCATGAAAAAGGAAGTAGGATTAATGGAATGACATCGTAAATGTAAAGGTAAAGATGTATTAAGTCACAGTAAAGCAAAATATGTTATATTTGTTATTAGAATACATGTTCTAAGAAGGCATAGGCTAAGATTAGCTTCTCACTTTAAAATCAGTCCTTGGAAACATACAGTGAAAACATACAAGTCATTGATTCACAAAATTCCTGCAATTTTAGATCATTATAAACAGAGTTGTATATTTTAGACCAGAATAGCCAAGTCTGACGCGGATTTAACTGACGTAAAAGGACAGAGATGTGGACGTAGAGCAACTTACCTGAAAGGCGTTTAATCGACCCAGTAGGATTTACTCACTAAACTAACAAATTGTAACAAGTTGAAAAAATTGAAAAATGTATGCCGAAATAGTTAATCTCCAAAAATTCTCCAAGCCATTTTTAATTATACCTTTGGCTGCTATAGCTTACATTTCGCCATTCGGATTTTGAGTTTGCAACAATTCAGAGTTTGATGAATTAACCCAAATGAAAAATAACACTAATAATTTTTAAATGAATAAATTTCTCTTAATTGATGCAGCTGGAGGCATTGTTGCAGTGAGAACGAACCTGTCGCCCAGTCACTGCGTATTAAATTATTAAAAATATCTATGTATTGTTGGCATTAACTCAGCTGCGCCTCCAGCCTGCGGCTCTATATGTAAGCAAACTTTGATAATAGAGACATCTGACTTGTGTATGGAAGAGAATTATAAAAGAGGAGCGTTTGTTTGGGGAGCTGCAATATTCTATCTATCTTTCATTTGGGATCGCCTTTCTCTTTAAGCTCACGTATTATGAAATCTAGATCAGATAATTACTATATCAGAATTCTTGTCTTTTTACGAAGGCGCAGCGTCTGGTTGCCATGGATATACGTGTTGCTGACTTTTAATCTAGCTAGTGTTCATCCTAAAGCAAAGGAATTATTTGAAGCGATAGGAAACTGATTTAGTTTGTCTCCTGGGAAAAAAAAAAAACGAACAGATACACTGAAATTAGCTGGAACTTATTGACTAATTACAAAATTGTAGTGAATTAAAAGTCTAATTGCAATATTTTAGTAAAAATAGACAATTTGCAACAATAGTTGTGAGTGGTTTTACATATTTTATTGTGTTTTGAGGGAGGAGGTTGTGGGTTACATAGGCTGAAAAGAGATGTGTGTCAATCAAGTTCAGCCTTTCTCACATCTGTTTTTGCTGTTGATACTAAATAAGGCCAAAAAAAAAAAAAAAAACAGTTT